CCTACCCAGTTTTAAGGATGGTGCTCACTGGGGTAAACCTGAAACAAAACTGAGCAACAGTGGGACAAAGGGGCAAGCAGGAAAGATGCGTAGCAAGGGCAGGATAAATAGCCAGTCTCTGCGTGAGTCCGTGGGTAGCAGGAGCGGTATGTGCTGGAGGGAACTAAAGTCGAACGCATCTGAGAAATACATGGAAAATCCATGCCTTTTTCTCAGTGGCACAAGTGCTCTGATTTAAAGAGAAAGGGGCTGGACTGCACAGGGTACTGTAACTGGATCCAGAAAGGCAGAACCTAAGAAATACCAGGCTTCTTGTATTAGGCTTGTACTAAAGCTAGTACCTTCCTTATATACTTGTTAAGCAAATGTATGCCTCCAGGGCTACCTGTTCAATTTTTCAGCATCAGAAGGGGTCATAAAGCAAGTGCTGCTTTTGAAAGTCAGCTTGCATCTCCTTGACAGGGGACAGATGGGAGGCCAGACTGGTTGCCAGCTGCTCCCAGACTGGGCTGCAGAAGCCCTGCAAGACTCCCCTACACTTGATGTTTGCCTGTGTGAGCAGCAGAACTAACAAAACTTTGTTTTCCCTGAATGCACGCCCTGTGTCCGTAACACCCCAGAACCCTCATAAACCCTGGTCCCTTCCCAGCAGTGGCCCTTCAAATCTTCCCCATCCAAACAGTCTTTTTCAACTTTTACTTCCTCCCAAGTCCTCCAACCACAAGCCAGGTAATACAGTCCCACATATTTCAGAGTTTCATGTGTGCTGACTGGCTGCTCTGGCCGTAGATACCAACTAGCCAGCTGACGGCAAAAAGAAAACAGAAGTTTTCTGAGATTACACCAGCCATCTTGCAGAAGCTAGTCTGATTTCCCTCCCACCTTATCTCAGTATCAATGTTTTGCTTCAGCCTTCTTACCTCCTTAAAAGCTTCAATGAATACCCAACAGATTCAGAAGTTAATAACTAGTGCTAAGAACTGACAATTCAGTGGTATAAATCTGATTTCCAAAGGTCATATCCTCATCCTAGTTTAAGTGACGTAACACTGATTTCCAACAGGAGAGCATCTCATCAAGGGCTCTCTGTTTACTTACTGACGTACTTCCAACTTCCCATGTCAAGTGTAAAATCCCCAACACTGCTGTGATCCCCGAGGGAACCTCAGGCATTCCAGGGCCCTTCTCGTGTCTGATGCAGATGAACAGTCACGACCAAGGCGGATGATCTGGAGAAGATCAGCTCTCTGACCCTGCAGCCCTGGGGAGTGGGTAGGGCCTGAGGTCTCGCCACGCCAGGGCGGCTGCTGCCCACACCAGTAGAGCCCAGAATCTGGTTTGGCCCACACCGTTTTCAATTCCCTTCCTCACCAAAGCTGAGAATTCAGCTCTGAGAGGGTGGCTCTGCAGACTGAGGGAAGTCCCTTGTAGCCAGAGGTGCCAAAAAAAGCTAGCAGCATCACAAAACACAGCTTTTATTTCACCGTTCTGTAATCTCTCAGTGCATCAAACCGCAGCAATAGAAACAATACAGCAGCAACGAGGAGGCACTTTGACCTGGAAAGGAGAGAAGGAGACACGTCCTCTCCCTTCCTTCCCCGATTCCCCTCCCTCCTAAGTCTCATGGTAGAGCAGGCGGATTCACGTAAGTCACTGAACCACAGGCCCATGGTGGCATTGTCACTCAAACAGCGAGCAGAGGAAGCTGGGGCTGGCTGCAGCCAAACACTGGGGAGAAGTCTTGCTCCCAGCTGGGGCCCAAGAATTATGCTGCCTGGTTAGCATGAAAGAGACTGAAAGAGAGGAAGGCAAGGAGGGAGGAAGAGAAGACACACACACACAGATGTGCCCTAAAATCCCATCTGCCTTCCCAGACTTCTTCCCCAGGACAGATACGCTTCATTCTTCTATTTTACCCCAGAGGAAATGCCACAGTGATGAAAAGCCTCAGCACAGCCATACCCTTGAGACCTGACAGCATCACCTCCTGCAGCATATTCCTACTACTGTAGTACCAAGGGGCCTTTGAGACCACCTTTGCATGTATCCATTATTGTAGGCAGAACGAATGCACCACACACTTGAAGCAATAAGCTCCCTGCTCAAGTCTGGGCTTATCAGAGTAGCTTGAGGGGATTCTTTATGGGACCTAAACAACCCCTGCTGCTCTTAAAGCCCCAAGACTGACTGAAAAGCCCGATGTAGGAAGCCTTTAGATAACACCAGTGGGCAAAAGGCCAACTGTGTTAACATAAAGGAAGTAAAAAAGGCCAGGAGCCAGAAAGTGAGGCTTTTAGGATGCGACTGCTCTGGGTTGGAGCGCACAGGGCAGTCCAGTCTGCTACCATTCTTGAATGGGAGTCCCAGGAGCTGGAAGGGGGAATCAGCCTTGGGCCTGAAACAAAGGGTTCAAGCCTGCAGCCTGTGGGGGGAAAGATATAAAGGAGGGTGGATAGAGGGTAAACAGGAGACTTGACTATGAAAAGAGAGGGCTGGGGGTTTCTGAAAACCAGAAAGAGAACCAAAGCTAGCCCAGAGCACTCTGGTAGTCAGCCCTAGCTGTAGCAGGATATGGGTGCAGAGGGGTGAGGGGGCAAATTAAAGATGAGAATGAAGAGAAAGGAGAAACCAGAGGAGAGATCCTCACTGCAGCCCAACAGAGCAGAGACACCACAGCTTAGGTCCCAAGTGAGCCCAGCTGTCCCTCAGGCAGTTTGCACTGCAGCAGGGAAAAGAGCCTGAGGCTCTTCTGACTGGTGGCACTGCAGGTGCCGGCTCTGTTTGTCTCCTAAAAACAAAAACCAAGCCAAAAATTCCCCACCAATGTCAGCTTGGGAGGAAAGGAGTTTGGGAAGGAGGAATAAAATTCCTTTGTGTCAGGGGAACAGGGGAGAGGGAGAATCTCTGTGCAACCTGGACAGCCTGAAATTGAGAGCCCTGGGCTGGGAAGCGGCCTCAGGCTAGTGAGAAAGGAGAGAGAAAAAGAACAGTCTCTGGAAGTCCCAGGCACCAGTGGGCTATCTGGAGAGTGGATGGGGCCAGATGCGCTGGCCCAGCACCATTCCAGGCACTGGCACAGACTTATTTCTCCAGGATCAGAAGGAGAATTCACAACCTGGAGCACATCAACAGGAGAGGGAGTCCACCAGCTCTCGGTGCGTACTGTTGCAGTTGCTCCGCGCTTTACACATTCAGCTTGCCAGCAATGGTCATGAGGACTTTCAGGACGGGCATGAAGCCAGACACCTCACTGAAACTGCTGCTGCTCACCACCTGGGTGTGAACCAGGAGACCCTGTTGGTAGTTCCTAGCCTCAATGCAGCGGGCAATTTCATGGAGACCCATGAGGATGGTTGGAGAGAGCTGTGGGGAGGGAGCAAAAATGAGTCAGTATGCTCAGCACTGTAACACAGGACCCCCTCCCTTCACACCATTCCCTCCTGTTCTCCACCTCATCCTCACTAAACAGCACCTACACAGTCAAACACTCACAGGAAGGACAGTCTGCTTCCTCCCTTGGTTCCCCAGCCAACAACAAACAGTAATCTAATACCCAGGCTGGGCTACAGTGAATGCAGACCCTAACTAATAACATTTCAGCATTAATTGAATATCTGATCTATCTGAGGAGGTCAAAGGTCTATCTAGCACAGAATCTTGTCTCTGTTCAGGCCTAATATGGACACTCAGTATGTCAGAGGGATTCTTCCCTTGATAGCTGTCCCTCCAGCAACCGGCATCAGCAGGTTGAGTTTTCTAAGCCAGAGGTGACGCTAGGTTCACACTTAACAACTACCCCCAATTGTCCCTTCCTGTCTAGAACCTGTCTATATGCCAGTATACTTTCTGGGGGTAAAAGCTCCTTGCAAATACTTTCCCAGCTTTTCCTTATGCTACGTCTGGGCCAAGGTTAAGGATAAGGCTGGCTGGACTCAAGGTGCGTTATAAGGTTTGGCACTCCCCTAGCTTTCTCAAGAGGATATGAGCTGGAAACACTGGGACAGACACCAGGCCCGCAACGCAGTGCAAAGGTGGGATCAGGAACCTGGCTGGACCACAGGAAACGGTGGCATTTACTTACCACCTGCTCGCGGAGCTTCTCATACAAACACTCCAGCCGCTGCAATCCGTCCTCCAGCTTCCTTCGGGTTTTCTGAAGCGAAACAGGTATCGCTAGCTTTGTCAGAGCTTCAAACCCATCTCACCCAGAACCAAGTTCTCGCTTAGTCCCTCCCCTCCTCTGTTCTTTCCACAGCACCTTCCAATTCAGCTGCATCTCAGCCTCTGTCAGCCAGGGAGTGTGAGACAAGCCAGTCATGCCCTCACTGTGCACTCATACATGCACACGTTCTCTCCCCAAGACAGGAAGCTGTATTTGTCCCTTTTCCCATTTCCCAGCCTAGGCATTCCTCCCTTCTGCCAGTGCTTGCAAACCTCAGGATGACGCCACTACTTCTAAAGTTTGAGGAACATCCACTAGTTGACCCACGGGGCATTCAGATAGCCTCACCCTGGCTGACCTAAGCAACAGCTTCTTCCTGGTCTCCTTGAGGAAAAGAGGAAATACCCTTCCCACTCTCGGTAACCACTATATGCCAGTATATTTCCTAGGGGTAAAAGTACCCTGCAAGGAAAGAGTCAAAAGTACTGAAGCTCTGGTGGGACTGAGTCGGTTTAATGTTAAACCCACCTTGGATAATCCACTCACAGGTAAATTATACCATGGATAGAAATGTCTGGCTCTGGGCAATGCTGGAACAGGCCTGGCAGCCTTAGGAGCTCGGGTGCACTGCATTGCTGCACCAACCCTGCTATTCAACCTCCATGCAAACCAAGTGCTTAAGCTCAAATCAGCCATCCCTTCTGTCCACAGAGGGAATCTTTAGTTTATCTCCCAGAAGCTGCTACACTGCACCCTCAGAAAACACACAGCAAGCACGCTGAAGCTGCTGCTACACACAAATTGTCTGACTCTGGGATAGCAGTTTGGGCTCACTGCTCATCCCAACACCCCCTAAGCAGAGGTATTCTAGAAGGCTTCATGGTGCCCCCAAGCTCCAGGAAGACTTAGCAACCTAACACGATGCTGCAAACACAGCTTTTCTACTTCCAGATAGTCCGGCCTGATACACTCATGCAACATGACACATATGGCAACAGCCTTCCAGGAACCAGGATGTAGAAATTACAGTGATTAGGACACAAAGACTGCCTGGCTTTCTCTTCTGGCCAGGATATCTCAGCCTTTCCCTCTAAGCTCTGAGGACAGCTGGTAATACCAGCTCTGCAGGAACTATCTATGGACGAAGCCAGTGAAAAAGGAAGCTGAATTAGCTAGGTTTTTTTTTTCTACTTTCCTCAGAGAAAAAGAGTCGGCAGGACAGAACCATTGCTCTACAGAGGCAATGAGAAGCAGTGCATAAATCCTAGAGAATGCATCTCATTTCCCAAAAGATGGACAAGCATACGACCTAAAGGAAGGAGGCAGATGGAGATTAACTTGGCAATAGGGACAACACTCTTCCTCTCTTTTCCCAACCAAAAGAAGGAAGCACCAGTCAAACATCTGTGAGGGCAAAAAAGCCACAGATCAGAGAAGGGAGGACTTACTGGATCAGTGGCAACAGCAGAGCAGCGTTGCACCAATCCTTCAAACGTGGTCTTCAGAGCCTGGTGCTCAGGGGGTACCTCCTTCCTCTCCACCCTCTCCACAGGTAGCTGGTGATACTGAGAGAGAGAGAAGCAGCTGAATGAATGGAACAAAGCATGAAAGGTTGGAGCAGGTAGAGTCCCCTCCTTCCAGAAAGAATTTCACCCCTTTGCAAACCCAGAGAATACCTAGAAGCACAGAGTTAGATTATCATCTTCAGAATGTGGTATAGCTTCAGGTCTCTGTGGATTCCCAACTCCAAGCAGGCTGACAGCCTGCCTGGCCTCCCTCCCAGCCATACCCAAGTGTCATTTTCCACCCTGGCAATTCCTCTAACACTCAAGCAGAGACGTCTTATAAGGGTTAGGGAGCAACATAAGCCCTGCAGCTGCCAAATAGTAAGAATCTCAAAAGCTGAGTTGTTTTTCTACTTGACAAGGAGTTGGTGGCTGGGGAACACCCCACTTCCCTGGGTACCTGCAGGCTGCCTTCCTTGGGTGCTCCTGGGGGTGACTGGCCAGATTCTTGCAACCTGGACAGCTGAGGATGGATCCCTTGGGGCTCAGTGGGCAGGCTCATTACTGGAGCTGTGATAGGGGCTGGAGGAGTAAATTTCTCAGGCAACTGATGGCAAACAGAAAGAAAAAAAATAATCAAAAAAACCAAATCCAAGGAAGGAGAGTTGGTTACACTCTCTGCAGTCAAATTCAACATCCTTTCTAACTTGTAGAGTGCCCAGTTCTCAAGATGATGTGTAACACATCCCTCTTCTTTCAGCTGCCTGGCTCAGAGCATGGGGCCCTTCCTCTTGCATCCTAGATGAACAGTCAAAGCGACAGCAAGAAAACTCCTCTGGAATTGTTCAATCAAACAGATCCGCTGCCCCTGAAAGCACTGGTCCTCAGAAAGCCGCCTTGGCTCTGCAACGGCACGAGTCCTGAATGTAGAGATTAGCAGCAGTAAAGTGTCCAACAGAGCAAGTGCTGAGGAAAATCCCACGACATGGGGGGAGAATCCTCTTGCAAACACTTCATCATGCCCCTGCTAAGCCAAAGAGTCAGGATAGATTCACTCCGACAGGGCTAGATCAAAAGGAGATGGCTTTAACAAGAGGCTAATCCTGTTGTAGTGAGCACAGCCTGAAGCAGGTTCCCAGCTATGCTGCCAGAAAAAGGGCGAGAAGTCTGTTCCAAGCTAAAGAAGAGGAGTGGGGGGTGGGAATGGTGCCAAAGAAGCTTCTCATCACACCTGCCAGCAGGCAGCAGTAATAGAAATGGGGTACTGCGAGCATTTATTGCAGAAGAGCTCAGCTCACAGGTCCTCCAGCGCAATCCCTGCAAGGCAGAGAGCAGGAGGGCCAACATGGCAGGCAGCTCACAGCTACACCTGTCCCAGCTTCTTTCAGCAAAAGTGCCTTATCAGTTGGTATCAGCATCTGAGGAAAATCACTGTGGGTCCCACTGTGCTGAGAGGAAATGCTGCCCCCAACTGTCAGGTGTGAAGAGAGTGTGATCTCCCCAGCCACTTTCAAAAAAGGTGTGTGGGCAAGGGGTTCAGATTAAATCCGTATTTCCAGCCAGCCTGGG